TTTTCGCGATGCCGCTTTTTATAATTAAAAAAAAATGTAACCAAAAGGAAGATATGTTTTGTTAAAATGTGTGTAATAACACTTAAAATATACTTTAGGAATTTAATTTAAAAGATATTGTTTACATTAGTTGAGATGGAGCCATTACCAGTATGTGTTTGTACCATACAATGAACATTTTCCTTTTTAAGGGAGGGGGGTGTAAGAAAACAGCATAATGGTCTGATGATGTATGTTTTTGAAATTATATTTCAAATCTTTTCAATCACTTTTATGGTACAGTGTTTTCCATTTGGGGCATATTACCATTTTCCTGAATAAGCTTTTTCTCTGTTCAAACTCTGACTCCCCAACCCCTTTATAGTAACTCTGCTATACATCATATTTGCCAACTGCATATAAGTGCAGCAAAGATGGCTTTACATATTCGATGTGATCTGGAACTCCTACTTTTTTGAGCTTGGGAGTACCAAGACTCCTTCTTTGTGTGAACCCTGCAACTGTTGGCACCAGTTGCACATCATATATCTATAGACTTGCGCCCCCTGAAGACCATTTGAATATGTTTAATATTAAAATTATATATAGCTGTGTTATTTTGGTCCCCGGAATAGTGCATATCAGATGCTCTAAGCTTATAATACAGCATTATTATTAACTTGTTACAGAGGTGACCCTTGATCTTTTAATTGTCAGACCTGTCAGATGCAGGTTAGCATAGTACAGCGGGTGATTCAAAGGGAAAGGGTACATAATAAGCAGAATAGAAAGCAAATTAGTATGAGAATACAGGTGCTACATGGTTAAATGACTACATACAAGAAATAAACAACACAATATCACATGCTGATAGTTTATTACAAAATGGTGTTTGCATTGATTGGTTACAATCTTTGTTTAAGTAGGTTAAGAAAGCAACACATCTATATACTGATAAGACATTATCCTAAGCAAAAAAAAAAAAAAAAAAAATCCCTACCCTCCTAATTTTTTGGACCAATGTTTCCTGAACCAGACATATTTTATTATTTGGCCTTTGCTTCATTAAGTGGGAAGAAGTTCGTATTTTTCTTTTAGACATTTTATTCCGATCACGCTTGATTTACACGGACAAAATGACATTTGGACTGGTTTAAATTTGTGTACTTTTTTAAGCGAGGTTAAGGTATAGAAAATGTAAACCAGACAGCAAGTGCGTGCATAGTTTATAACTCGGCTTCCTGCGAATATTACGCCCCATTTATATTTCGGATTTTCCTGACAAGCGTATTCCATTTTTTCTTCAACTCGCAAAAAATTGCGAGTAGTCATAAATCTAACTCGCAAAATCATTTTTCAACTAGCATTTTGCGAGTTTGCGAGTGTTAAATTCGAGCCCTGGTCATTTCAATTATAACAAGCAATTATCATAGTATTGCAAGCAATACATAAGTCCCCTACCGGTAAGAGCCCAAGCAACATTCTGAAGGGCCATTGGCCATTCACTTAGGTTCCTATGTTAAGTGTTGAAAAAGTTCTTTAAAAGTGATCACACGAAACAGTTTTTATGTACAGACAGATGGACTGAAGGACACTCTAAAGTTATTTTTTAAACATCCCTGTTATCAAAATATAACATTTTTAAAATCCTATCATGATTGAAGAAGTTGGAGTAAAAATTACCAATTTCTCAAAAAAAAGTCTAAGTTCAAAAGGGGCATAATTCTGGAAATAGTCTTGCTAGAGTATTGAACACTCACAAATGTTGAGTGATAATAAGAAACATTTATATGAAGTTTGAAGTAGATACATTCAGAAAAAGGAAGTTATTAAAAAAAACAATGTTTTTTTTCATGAAAATTTTAAGTTCAAGGGAGGTAATTCTGATAAATTTTGTGCTAGAGTTGTAAACCTTGTCACATATGATGTGGTTGATGACAAGCAATTTATCCTTAAAGTTTGAAGAAAATACCTTAAGAAATAAATAACTTATAGTGAAAAAACTTAAAAACTTGAATCAGAAATCTTGAAATTCAGTCTATTTGTTGCCATAGCAACCAGAATTTTCAACATAGGAAGATAAGAAAAGAATGTGCATAATTTCTATACTGCCATCTACCCATATGTCAAGTTTCATAAACATATTTTCAGTACTTTTTGTGTTATCACTGGATCCAGGTTATGTGTAAAATCTGCCATATTTTCAGTCTATTTGTTGCCATAGCAACCAGAATTTTCAACATAGGAAGGGAAGAAAAAGACGTGCATAATCTCCATACTGCAATCTATCCATATATCAAGTTTCATAAAAATATTTTCAGTACTTTTTGCGTTATCGCGGGATCCAGGTTATGTGTAAAATTTGCCATATTTTCAGTCTATTTGTTGCCATAGCAACCAGAATTTTTAACATAGGAAGAAAAGAAAAAGACGTGCATAATCTCCATACTGCCATCTATCCATATATCAAGTTTCATTAAAATATTTTGAGTACTTTTTGCGTTATCGCGGGATCCAGTTTTGTGGACGGACGGACTGACAGACAGACAGACGGACGGACTGACGGACAGACAGACGGACGGAGGGTAAACCTAAAGTCCCCTCCGGTAAACCGGTAGGGGACTAATTATTTCTTTTCTCATCTTTATACATTATTTTCAACTACACAGCAACAAAAAAGAACCTGAAAACGTATCTTCGCCTAAAAATTCATCCCCGCACTTATGCCTAACTTAAACCAATGTCCCGAAATATTTTGAGTGCAGTATAGAATTTGAGCGCGTGCAACGTAACTACCGAAACGAGGCCATCCAATCAAAATCCCCGAAAATATGAGACAGCTTCTGAGCAACACAGACTACCCAAAGTGAAAGTAGAAAGATTAGGATTTATTATTAAAATACATCTACATGTTACTCCCGAACAATCAATTCTGGCTATGACTGGGAGCAGAGGTTTATTCAAGCGGACGCCCGCTTGCCCGCGTCGGGTAGAAATCGCTGCGGGCAAGTGAAATTTGAAAGCAAATTGCCCGGTGGGCAAGTGAATTTTCATTATGCATTCTATTAGCTTTGATATCTTTTGCCGATAATACTTTTCTTTCCGTTCATATTACAGTCAAACAAGTGTATTTTTAACTGTTTCTGATTGTAGTTAGACTCCTATCAACCAATCAAATAACGTAAAAAAACTTTTTCCATTTTGCTTTTTTTCAAAATGGCGGGCGGCGCCGAAAGTTTTTCCATTTTTAAAAGGAAAAAGTCTACAGCAATTAAAGAAAAAGCCACGGCAAAGAAAACATCTGATTTTCTGAATAAATAGCATAAAATCACAAAAATTCAAGATGAGTTATGTCAATAAAGACTGACACATCTGCAAGGTTCAAGAAAGAGCAGAAAAATCAGGCCGTAAAAATCTACTCCTTTGAATCCTGTACGCTATTTTTTTCTTCGTACGGTCATTCTTTAACTAACTGGCGTCGTCAACTCATTTGCAATAGGCTTATAGAATTTTTTTAAAATTCGTCACCAGTAATCTTTTTTACACAAATCTTGACGAAAAATCATAATAGTCTTGAACTGTTGTTAATTTATTTTCCTTTCTCCCCTACAGCAATGTTTACAAATATTCTAGATCTATTAATAAACAGAATAAAATAATCCATATAATGTTTAAAATCCTTTTTGGTAAATCACAGCATATTGTGTAACTATAAGTCATCTGAGGTCAATCTAGGTCATGCCTAATTTATGACCAAAACAGAAAAAACCTCCTTAGGTGAAACATACAGCAAATGACGTATATTTCGTCTGACAGTTCTTTGAACCAGTCAGTGCTCTGAACTGTATGATTACTGCATGCGATGAGTCCCTTTGATGTGACATAGGTTAAAACTTCAAATAAATTTCAATACACACAGGGAGGATAGGAATCAGACAGATCAATTTAAATTGAGTATAACACATCCTGTCATGGACTTGGAGCAACTTGTTGTTTTTAAAAATGAAATAAATTTGAAAGGTACATAGCTAGTTTGGTAATGCAAACAAAGCAAACATATTTTTGATATTTTACATTGTTTGAAATCAACAATAAACATTTAAATCCTATCACAATTTTCAACAATCAATGTACTGTTTCCTTTTTAAAGTTGTAATAGGGAATAAATATTTTTAAGGTGATAGCATCTGAATGTTAATGTATTTTAAAAGTCACCTGGAATAGGGCCTAATTATTACCTGTAATTTTTATAAGCCTTAACAGATCACGACTATTGTTAATCTTCATTTTCATTTTACTATTTTGATGTGAGGAATCCCTGACATTTAGGAGTTTTTCTAAATTTAATCTCAGGGATTTCTATTGAATCCCTGGCAAAGACAGTTGTGTTGACAAGCAATAAAACATAATATTTTATACAGTAGGGAATTTAGGACTATTTTACTATCTGAGGCATAAGTTGATAGGATCTGCAATAAATCTTATTTTTACCCATAATTTTTGCTTTGATTATTAACAATCTTCACATTTAAGATCGGGCGACCTGTTTTTCTTGGGGGCAAGTAGATTTTCAAAGTTACTTGCCCTTCGGGCAAGTGAAAGTCAAAACCTTAAGTAAACCCCTGTGGGAGGCTTAATGTTATAAATAGATTATTTTCTTATTTTAAACGTTCCTTTTTTGTTTGTCATAGTTTTAACTTACTCTTGATATTTTTTGTCTTCCACTTACTATTAATTTAAAAACGGTGACTTCAATTTAAAACGTTAACCCCCCGAAAATATGGGTCAAAAGACAAAACTTTGACTTATCCTGGATTAGACCCCGGGGTCTAAACCAGGAGTATATATATAAGGTTCATTCCGTTTTCTTTAGTGTATTATATACAAGTTTTACTCCTGAAAAATACATAGGGGTCTAAACAAGGAGATTGCCGACTTTTGTCAATACCCCACCCACCTCTCTGAAACATAAAGTGAGTAAGCACAAAGATTGTATACATATTCTAACAATGTACAATTACCTTGTATCGGTTTATCTTCTTTATTTTCTTCTTTAACTTTTCTTTGATCAGAACCTAAATGGTCTGGCATGATTCAGAACTTGCAAAAGGCGATTAATATTCTTAAAAGAAAAGGACCAAGAAAACCGGTGAACAAGCGTATTTTTTTCAAGCGTCTTATTACAGAGATTTTTAAAGGGTCGGTCTAAAACGCAGACGCTTATGCAGACAATATAGGATATATAGTAAAACGCAGACAATATCCATAGATATAGAGTGTTTTTACAAAACGCAGACAATATAGAATAAGAAGGTGTAAATTAGACACTAAAAAGATGTTTAGAATTGTATGTTTAAGATTAAAATTTTAAGATATTAGAGATTTGTAGGTATGAATATTTGATAATAAATTAGAATTCAAAAAAAAAAAAAAAAAAAAAAAAAAAAAATTATGATTTTTTATTAAGATGATAGATCTATCAATTAATAAAAAATAAATAGTGATATAAAAAAAGTTTTTTTGACATACCATGCTTGATTTGAATAAACTTTAATGAATTTAAGATAAATTGTCTAATATAAGTTTTGTTAAATTTAATAAGAAAAATTTTAATGGGGACACTAAAGTAAATTACAAAACAAATTTAAACAAAACAGAACATATTTTTATTTCATTTTTATAAATAGTCCATCTACAAAGAAATCATTAAATAGATAATAAAAGAATGTTATAAAGAATTTATAATTATTAAAAAAAAACATTGTCATGTAAAAATATAAATATAATTATCATTAAAAAAACGTGTTTATCATATCAAATCAATACATATCTATATTGTCTGCGTTTCTTTGCAAGTACTATATACTCTATATTGTCTGCATTTTACTATATGTTCTATACTGTTAATAAAAGAAATACATTTCTGCAAATTCATCTTCACTATATATCTATATTGTCTGCGTTTCTTGCAATTACTATATACTCTATATTGTCTGCATTTTACTTTTTGGTAATTTACTATTTGGTTATGCTTGTACTGTGATATTGCTTTTCGCTTAGCTTGTTTATACCTTCTTCTGTCAATAAGCAAACATTTTCAGATGTTTTATCATATCTATATTTTCTATTAGCCAACCTCATTTCGCATCGAGCATTTTCACAGTCTTAATTAAACCACGAGCTTTGAAATCCCCTTTCACTCTTTCTATCTGCATCTTTATCATATATGTTTACAGTATTAAAACCAAAAATAGAAAAGGCTATATTGTCAAGAATACTTGACTCAAGAATACTTGACAAGTCACCAGTTCCACTATCTTGGCCAATATCTGAATGACGAAAATATTAACAAGAACGTGTATTTCTTTTAACATAATATTTTTTTTTTATAATTTAGCAACATTTCTTCTTTAAAACGTATATATACAAACATTTGCACTAAGAACATTATTACACATAACATTTTCACAAAATACACCAAAACTTATCTGTAAAGACTCATGTATAAACATTGTGAACATTAGTTTCAGAAATAAAGGGAAATAAACCTTAAGAGCATATAACGTAATCAATCAAACTATTTTCATTTGGCATTGCTATTCGTATTGGTAAAACCACCAATCCCAGCATCGTCACCACATCGCCCTTAATAAGCGAGCTACTTCTAGTTATATCTAACAATTTTATATCCTAGCTATTGACAGTTTAATACGTAGAAAATGTATATCTTAAATACAATATTCATTTTCATCTAACACATGTATAAATCTTTGAAAATCGGTACAGTTTTGTATAATATGAGACCTTTTTCCGAACCTTGAATTCAAATCGCCAATTATCGACAATGTGCCTAATTCTGTATATTTTCGAATGTTTAATCTTGCGACTCGATCAAACAATATAATTTCATGCAAATTGTAATACATATACAAAGTTACAAGAACCTGAATGCTGTAACCATTTATACTTACGTGTCAGTACCCACTTTTATTGTATTGCAACTGTTCCATTTATTTATTTACATTTGTAAAATTTTGTCAGCCTTAATTCATCCGCTCAAGTTACGGTAAACTTACACTAAAATTAAATAACATGAAAATTACCTGACATTTTCTGCATGTTTTGATATAAATAAAAACAAGAAAATTCGAATGACACATATGCCACCCTTTCTAGCCCTTGACTCATGCTATTTGTAATTTTGTTATCGAAACATGCTATAAATGGGTACATGGAAATGTTCAGTTATGGAAATGAATAATGACCAACATATGACCTGAAACTGAATGAAAGCTATCATAAATAAGTTATACAAGCTGGAGGGTAGCTGGAACTTAAAAATCCTTAGCCACTCCAAAAACTTCTTGTCGGCGGTATTCATAGATGATCTGACTCTAATAAATAATACTTGCGACTCTCGGAAGAAAGTGTTCACAGCGCTTTCTCTGTACACACATTTAATACAATTGTTGCAGGTGATTTCAATATCAATACTTAGATATCAACCTCAAATAAGATGACTAGACTATTATATGATAGCACAGTTTTAAAACTTCACAGAGTCATTATTCTTTGTTATTCTTTAAATGTAAGTTAGCAAGACATTACTGTTTGGTGAAGTTGAAGACATTTCAACTTACTAATAAAAGTTTATCAAATATATATAAAAGATCTTGATCCTGTGAGCCCAAATCCACCAAAATTTAAAGGACCACCCGATATGTGCGTGGACATAAGTAAAGAATATAAGGCTGTATAAGAAAAAGTGTAGTCTATTGCTAGCACAGTGTCCTTGTGACATCCAACACTGGTATGTCCCTTCCAAATATGAAACAAGATCGCTCCCCTGACCCATCAACTACATCTGAGCAATGTCTTAGACAAGCAGCCTGACCAAGTTTGATGACAATTGAGTCAAAATATGACTTCTAGTGTGTAAAAAAGTTTTTTCCACATTTTGGCAGTTTGACATAGCTTTTAACCCCAGGTGACCCATATTCGAAGATGACCTAGAAATCATAAAAAAAACTTGCAGATCAATTTCCAGGATATTTGGATCAAAACTGCCCACACTAAAGTGCTAACAAGATTTTTCTATTTTTAGCTCCTGTGACCTAGTTTTTGACAAGAGACGACCTATATTCATACTTGACCCAGAAATAAACAAAACAATCTTCCTGACAAATTTTCAAAATATTTGGACCAAAACTGCAGCAACTAGTTTGTTATCAAGATTTTTTCTATTTTTAGCTCCTGCGACCTAGTTTTTGACTGGAGATGACCCAAACTACACATAGCAATCATCAAAGCAACCTTTCTGACCAATTTCCAGGATACGTGGATAAAAACTGCAGCCACTAGAGTGTGAACAAGATTTTTCTATTTTTAGACATTGTGACCCAGATTTTGACCGGAGATGACCCATATTCACACTTGACCTAGATATATTCACAACAATTTTCCTGACAAACTTCCAAAATAGTTGGATAAAAACTGCAGCCACTAGAGTGTTAATAAGATTTTTCTATTTTTAGCTCCTGCGACCTTACTTTTGACCGGAGATGACACACATTCGAACTTGACCTAGAAATTATCAAAACAACGTTCCTGACCAATTTCAATGATACTTGGATCAAAACTGCAGCCACTAGAGTGTTAACAAGCTTTTTATTTTTTAGATCCTGTGACCTAGTTTTTGACCATGACGACCCATATTCATACTTGCCCTAGAATGATCAAAACAACCTTCCTGATAAATTTCCAGAATATTTGGATAAAAACTGCAGCTACTAGAATGTAAACAAGATTTTTTTATTTTTAGCCCCTGTGACCTATTTTTGGACCGGAGATGACCCATATTCGAACTTAACCTAGAAACCATCAAAACAGCCTTTCTGACTGATTTTCATGATTTTTTTTATCAAAACTGCAGCCACTAGAGTGTTAACAAGCTTTTACTTTTTTTTAGCTCCTGTGACCTAGTTTTTGACCAGAGATGACCAATATTAGAACTTGACCTACAAATCATCAAAACAACCTTCCTGACAAATATCCAAGAAATTTGTTTCAAACTGCAGCCGCTAGAGTGTTAACAAGCTTTTTCTATCATCATCATCATCTTCAGTAATCGCCTCACTCTTCATAGAGCATGATCGCGATGAAACTAAAACTATGTACATGCGCAGCAATTGGTTTCCTCTTTACAGTTAAAAATTGTCTATTTACATCTTTTTAAAAACTGGTAAAAACTGGCAATGTGTCTAGTTGGTGGTTGTGTGTTTCATCAGCGCCGACTTGAACCCCCCCCCCCCCCAAGGTTGGTTTCTCAACAACTTGTATGGGTAGGCGATTCCAGAGGATGATGGTGGCCGGAAAGAAGCTGTTCTGGTACACAGATTTTTTACAAGTGAGCTGGCTGAGTTGTTGTGGGTTGCCTCTTGATGTTCTTGCATTACGTAGCGGGGGATCTGGTGTGACATCTACAAGGTCATGCTTGATCTTGTAGAGCATGGTGACTGTTGCCATGTCCCGTCTCTTCTGTAAAGTGGTCCAGTGTAGTGAGTTTACCATCTCTGTGACACTGCTCTGGCGTGAGTAGTCGTTCTTGACAAACCGTGCTGCTCTTCTTTGTACCATCTCTAGTTGGTTGATGTGGCTGTCAGCAGCAGGTGACCATACAGAGGAGGCATACTCAACGCTTGGCCGTACGTAGGTGTTGTAGGCTTTGGCTTTGGCATCTGGTGGGCTTGACCGGATGTTTCGGCGCAGGAAAGCTAGGGTTGAGTTGGCTTTTTTCGTTATGTTGTCGATGTGGCATTTCCAAGATAGGTCTAGTGTGATGGTAACTCCAAGATACTTGGCCTGGTTGGTTACTATTTTTAGCTCCTGTGACCTAGTTTTTGACCGAGATAACCCGACTTCGAACTTGATACGTATTTCATTGAGACAAACGTTCTGACAAAGTTTGGTAATGATCCAATCAAAACTGTGACTGCTACTACACTGTTAACAACCCAATAATTGACGTCGAATGACGCACAGCGCACGACGACGGACATAGCCCCATCACTGTACCTCATCTTGACCACTTTGTGGTCAGGTGAGCTTAAAATATCAGTCAGTAATTAAAGGTTGTATAAGCAAATGTGTAGAAATCTATTTTTACACCCTTGAACTTGATCCA